CATAATGATTATTATTTCTATCATTATTATCATGCCATTATTATCATCATTATCACCATAATCATTTTGTTGTTATCATAATCAGTGTTATTATGTTACTTTTTATTATCATTGCTGTTATGAGGATGATGAAAATGATCATTATCATTATTACTATTACCATTATAAATATTTTATCATCATTATCATCATTATTATTTCCGGTAATGTCTCTTCCATCAAACAAAAATAAAGAAAGATAAAATAATAATGATCATAAGATAACAAAACTAAGAACAGAATCAATAGAAGAATATAAATTAAAAGCTTCCACATCATATAGAACTGAATTCATCCTGCCATAGGGTTAGCTGGTCATTGAACTTCGTAAAAGTAGAGAGAGAGAGAGAGAGAGAGAGAGAGAGAGAGAGAGAGAGAGAGAGGAGAGAGAGGAGAGAGAGAGAGAGAGAGAGAGAGAGAGAGAAAGAAAGGAAAGAAAGAGAGAGAGAGTGAGAGTGAGAGAGAGAGAGAGAGAGAGAGAGGAGAGAAGAGAGAGAGAGAGAGAGAGAGAGAGAGAGAGGAGAGAGAGAGAGTCATCTTAACAAACGTAGGTCATATTTTCGTGTGGTGACGTAATTCACGCACATGCTGTACTGTATAGTCAGAGAAACACAGACACGCATATATTAACGGTATGTATATGTGTGGTATGTCTATTATCTTATATATATATATCTATGTATCTATATATACGCTAAGTCAGTTCATCTATCTGTATACACGATATATATATATATATATATATATATATATATATATATATATATTATATTATTATTATAATAACTTTGCGTCCATCAATCTATCTATCTACATATCCCATCAGATTATCAGTATATATATATCTATTGCAGTAAACAAAAAAGCCAAAACAAACACGGGATTTTTCTGAAGTGAAAGTTATCAAATGATCAGTATATACAAATCTATTAAAGTAAACAGACAAATCAAAACAAACAGTCAAATTTGCTAAAGTAAAAGCTATCAAATTATCAGTATATACATATCTATTAAAGTAAACAAAAAGCAAAACAACACTGAAATTTTCTCAAATGAAAGTTATCAAATAATCAGTATATACATATCTATTAAAGTAAACAAACACATCAAAACAAGCAGTCCAATTTTCTGAGGTGAAAGCAGCTCCCAAAACGGGGAATCCCCTCACAGTAGGAAGAAAATCATAGCCCAAACCCGCCGAGAGATGGCACTGTCTCTCGCGCCCTTTTTTCACCTATGGGGAGTCAAGCTTTCTCTCTCTCTGTATGTCGGTTTCACTCCTATTTTTTCTCTTGCCTATAATTATTTTCTACGTTATCGTCGTTTTATAATCTTTTATCAATTTTTCTTTCGTATTTTCTTCTTTTTTTCTTAAGGATTTTTCGTGGATTTTGGATACGGTGGGTTTGGTATGGATAGAAATCGAGGATTTTTATAAAAAGTGTGAGAAATTGGAAAGTAATTTGAGAATAGGTAACTTTTCCTCGATGGGTTATAGGGTCTGGTAAAATCAGTGCAACATTTTCTTTCAGTTTGGTTCAACGTGAGTGAGAGGTGTGTGTTGGGAGTGCCTTTATATATGTATATATATGTGGAATTATGTATATGTGGAATTATATGTATGTGGAATTATATATGTGGAATTATGTATGTGTTATATTATGTGGAATTATATATGTGGAATTATATTATGTGGAATTAATAATTATATGTATGTATTATATATGTATATTATATATATTATATATATATATATATATATATATATATGTGTGTGGTGTGTGTGTGTGTGTGTGTGTGTTGTGTGTGTGTGTGTGTGTGTGGAATTATATATGAATTATATATATATATATATATATATATATATATATATATATATATATATATATATATATATATATATATATAATATGTATATATGTGTGTGTGTGTGTGTGTGTGTGTGGTGTGTGTGTGTGTGTGTTGTGTGTGTGTATTATATATGTATGTGGAATTATATATGTATAGGGATTATCTTGTTGGATAAATTAGGCTCATTTAATTTCAGTCAAGTTTTTTTGGAAAATGTAGAGGAAAATTTAAAGAATGAATTTAATGTTTGTTTCGTTTGTTGCTTAATCAAATTTTCTTATTCATATATATTTTTTCTAATCAAAATGTCAACGTTTGTTTTTTAATCAAAATTTCTTATTAATTTTTTTCTCTTGTCAAAATGTCAAAAATTACATTTTCAAATACAACCTCATTCAAATGCCATTAATAAGCAAACAAACTCACTCACACGCACATTTTCATTCATGTTTGCACTCACACACTCTCACACCCACACTCGCATTCTCAAACACAGTCACACACTCACTCACACTCGAAATTTTACTCACACACTCACACTCACACCCTCACACTCACTCTCTCTCTCGACTTCTCACTCACACATACTCACACACCCTCACACTCACATCCTCACACTCACTCTCTCTCTCTCTCTCGACCTCTCACTCAACACATACTCACACCCCTCACACTCACACCCTCACTCTCTCTGCGTCTCTCGTTCTCGACTTCTCACTCACACATACTCACACACCTCACACTCCCACCCTCACTCTCTCTCTCTCTCTCTCGACTCCTCACTACACATACTCACACACCCTCACACTCACACCCCTCACTCTCTCTCTCTCTCTCGACTTCTCACTCACACATACTCACACACCCTCACACTCACACCCTCACTCTCTCTCTCTCTCTCTCTCGACCTCTCACTCACACATACTCACACACCCTCACACTCACACCCTCACTCTCTCTCTCTCTCGACTTCTCACTCACACATACTCACACACCCTCACAGACACGCTCATTTCGGTTCGACCTCTCACTCACACACTTTCACTCACAGACACGCATAAACAGTGCCAAATGACAGCCTGTCAATATTGCAGCGCAGAGTGACCATTCTTTGATCTCCCGTCTTGAGACTGAGACATTGAAGACAACATGAATATTGACAAGAAAATGTTGCCGATGAAGTTGCATTATATTGCAGCTTTTGCAGGTAAGGTTTTTTTTTGCTTCTTTTATTATATTATTATTATCATTATGATTAATTTATCGAGTTCCTGTTTTCTTTTATTATTATTACATTATCATCATGATTAGTTTATCGATGTTCTCTTTCTCTTTTTTTTTTTTTTTCTTCCTAATGACTATGTATTTTTTTTACTCTCATTTATTGTTCATATATGTTGCTATCTTTTTCAAACTTTCATTTTTGACAAAGTAAAGTTTTGAATGGAAATGTGGGAATCTAAAAATACTCACCGAAAGATATACGTTTGTTAAAATTGTGCTATTCACCCAATTAATATTCGTAAATAGAGACAAGCACATACACAGAAATAGATAAATATGTCTATTTATCAGATATATTTACATTTATCTATCTATCTGTACCGTAGATATGCATGCCAAGACTGATAGATATGCATTTATTTCTTCTTTTTCTTCTTCTTCTTTTTTTTAGGAATGGGTCCTTCCTAGACTAATCGATATGCATTTATTTCTTCTTCTTTTTTTCTTTTTTTTAGGAATGGGTCCTTCCTAGACTGATCGATATGCATTTATTTATATATTTATTTATTTATTTGTTTTTTTTTAGGAATGGTCCTTTGATTCCTTCCTGCCGGTCATAGCTCGTCAGAAGGGAATGTCTGACGAGGCTGTGGGCATGATCTGGACGGCCCTGCCCTTCCTCAGGTACGTCGTGGGCACTGGGGTAGGGGTGGGTAGGGTATGGGGTGGGTGGGTGGGTGGAGGGTGGGTTTGGTATGTGGGTGGGTGGGGGGTGGGGGGGAATGTGAGTGTGTGGTATTGTGGGGTATGTGGATGTGGTGGGTGGGTGGGTTGGTCTGGAGGGTGGGTTGGGTAGGGTGTTGGTATGAGGGGGTGGGTGGCGATGGAGGGTCGAGGTGGGTGGGGGGATATGTGAGAGTGGGGGTATGTGAGTGTGATGGATGTGGGTGGTGGGTATGTAAGTGTGTGGGTATAAGAGTGTGTGGGGGGTAGGGGAGGGTTATGAGTGTTGGGGTATGAGTGTGTGATGTGTGTGTTTTATACACTTGTACGCGCGATGCAATAAGAAACATAATATATATATCTGTATCTCACGTTCCTCTTTCACCCAATTTTCGCTCTTATCGACATAGACATAGAAAGAAAATAAAACTATCCATCTTCTCAACCCCTTCGACCTCCCTTCAAAAAATCTATCCTTTTCTTCCTCTTCTTCCACCCAATACATTTTTTTCACAATTTCCCCTTAGACATAAAGAAAAAGAAAATAATAATCCCCTTTCCATAGCACTTTCCTCGCTCTTCCTTTCCGCTGTCAGCTTGTTGGCTAAGAAGTCAGCAGGGACGATGGCTGACTATCTTCCTCCTCTTCCACCCAATACATTTTTTTTTTCATAATTTCCCCTTAGACATAAAGAAAAAAAATAATAATCCCCTTTCCACACTCTTTCTCTCCGCTGTCAGCTTGTTGGCCAAGACGTCAGCAGGGGCGATGGCTGACTATCTTCCTCCTCTTCCACCCAATACATGTTTTTTTCATTTCCCCTTAGACATAAAGAAAATAATAATCCCCTTTCCTCACTCTTTCTCTTCGCTGTCAGTTGTTGGCTAAGAAGTCAGCAGGGGCGATGGCTGACTATCTTCCTCCTCTTCCACCCAATACATTTTTTTCATAATTTCCCCTTAGACATAAAGAAGAAGAAAAAATCCACTTTCCTCACTCTTTCTCTCCGCTGTCAGCTTGTTGGCCAAGACGTCAGCAGGAGCGATGGCTGACTACCTGAGAGCTCACCGCGCCATCTTCCTGTCAGCCGTCGTGGTCATGGGAGGGGCGCTGACGGGGATCTACTGGTGTCCTGACGTCGGGAAGGACTCCACGGCTGACTTCGCTCCTGAAGGACTCTCTGTCAGCAACTCCTCGAGGGTCGAAGGAGGACTGGCTGAAGGAGGAGGTAAGGGATGGAAGACTTGATTAGGAGGATTGTAAACAGGATTGTTTGAAGGATGGTCTTAAGGATTGTTGGTAGGAAGGATTACCTGAAAGATTGTTAAGAGGGGTGTCTGAGGGATTGTCTGAAAGGATGTTAAGAGGAATGTCTGAAGGATTGTTTGAAGGATTGTCTGAAAGTTTGTCTGAAGGGCTATTCAATCTTACCTAGAAAGTAACTAAAAAATCACAATTTCACAGTTTTTATTTAAAAAATGATTTGCTCTATTTTATTCAATCTTGCCGAGAAAGTAACTTTAAAAAATCACAATTTCACAGTTTTGATAAACAAAGACGGTTCTATACTATTTAATCTTCCCTATAGAAAACAACTTTAAAAATCACAATATCACATTTTTTTACACACTTCCCTCTCTTCCTATCTGCAGAAAAATCACTGGTGGATAGATACGAATTCTGGCTGTTGTCCATTTTGCTGTTGCTCCAATTCTGCGGCTACATGGTGGTGCTGGACATGGAGGAGACGGTCTGCTTCCAGATGCTGGGTATGTTGCGATCAAGGAAATTAAATGTTGTTAATTCTTTTTACTCGTATGTAATTTTGTGGACACATTGAATTGCTTCCAGATGCTGGGTATGTTGCGATCAAGGAAATCAAATAAGTAGTTGATACCTTTTTATTGGTATGTAATTTTATGGACACAGTGAATTGCTTCTAGATGCTGGGTACGTGGCATGTCTTGAATTTGTTTTCAAGTGATTTTTAATGGTTATTTATTTGTAATTCCAGATGCTGGGTATGTGGCATTTCTTGAATTTGTTTTCAAGTGAATATTAATGGTTTTTTATTTGTAATTTTGTAATTGTAAGCCAGGAGTCTTTAATAATTAATTGATATTTTTTACCTGACTGGAATGTTTTAGACATATTGAATTGCTTCCAGATGTGGTGATTTTAAATTTATATTTAATGGTAATTTTGTGGAGTTAATGAACTGTTCCTTTTTTATTGAAAATATCATTGTAATTCCTTCTGACCTTCGTAGATAAATACATGCAGGATTTCGTATACGTCATTAAAGTAATTTGATCGAGAATTAATTAAATGATGTATTCATTTCGTATAAATCGTTAAAGTAACTGAATCTAGAGTCAATAAATGGTGTATTTATTTCGCATAAATCATTAAAGTAATTCAATCGAGAATCAATTGTTTATTTATTTCCATCTTTTACAGGAGACAAAACCCACAAGTGTGACTCTGAATTTCGTAGATGAATACATACAGAATTTCGCATAAGTCGTTAAAGTAACTGAATCTAGAATCAATTAAATGGTGCATTTATTTCGCATTAGTCGTTAAACTGAATCTAGAATGAATAAAATAGTGTATTTATTTCCATCTTTCACAGGAGACAAGGCCCACAAGTGTCTCAGAATTTCTAATCTAATCTAGAAGGAATGAAATGGAATAATTTAATCTAGAATGGTGTATTTATTTCCATCTTTCACAGGAGAAAAGGCCCACAAGTGTCTCAGAATTTCTAATCTAATCTAGAAGGAATTAAATGGAAAGAATTAATCTAGAATGGTGTATTTATTTCCATCTTTCACAGGAGAAAAGGCCCACAAGTATCTCAGAATTTCTAATCTAATCTGGAATGAATTAAATGGAGTAATTTAATCTAGAATGGTGTATTTATTTCCATCTTTCACAGGAGACGAAGCCCACAGATATGACTATACTCCGTAGATAAATACATGCAGAATTTTGTATGAAGCGGTTAAAGAATCTAATCTAGAATTAAATGGTACATTTATTTCGTATAAGTCGTTACAATAATCTAATCGAGAACAAATTAAAGTGTATTTATTTCACAGGAGACAAGGCCCACAAGTATCTCAGAATTTCTAATCTAATCTAGAATGAATGAAATGGAATGATTTAATCTAGAATGGTGTATTTATTTCCATCTTTCACAGGAGAAAAGGCCCACAAGTGTCTCAGAATTTCTAATCTAATCTAGAAGGAATTAAATGGAATGAATTAATCTAGAATGGTGTATTTATTTCCATCTTTCACAGGAGACAAGGCCCACAAGTATCTCAGAATTTCTAATCTAATCTTGAATGAATTAAATGGAAAGAATTAATCTAGAATGGTGTATTTATTTCCATCTTTCACAGGAGACAAGGCCCACAAGTATCTCAGAATTTCTAATCTAATCTTGAATGAATTAAATGGAATGATCTAATCTAGATTGGTGTATTTATTTCCATCTTTCACAGGAGACAAGGCCCACAAGTATCTCAGAGAATGAATTAAATGGATAATCAATCTAGATGGTGTATTTATTTCCATCTTTCACAGGAGACAAGGCCCACAAGTACGGACTGCAAAGGCTCTGGGGAACTGTGAGCTACGGCGTGACTGCTGTGATCGGGGGGGCGCTGGTCGACTGGTATTCGCAGGTTGGTCTTCTCTGCTTCTCTTTCTCTCTCTCTCTTTTGTGGTTCATCTTTTTACTTTCTTTTTTTTCGTGTCTCTTTTGGTCTTCTGTTTCTTTCTCTCTCTTTTTTGTTTTCTTTTTTTCGTGGTGTATCTTTTGTTTTTGTTTTTTTTTCGTGTCTCTTTTGGTCTTCTGTTTCTGTTTCTCTCTCTTTGTTTCTTTTTCGTGTTTTCTTTTGTTTGTTTTTTTTCATGTCTTTTGTGTCTTCTGTTTTGTTCTCTCTCTTTTTTTTGTGGTTTATCTTTTGTTTTTGTTTTTTTGCGTCTCTTTTGGTCTTCAGTTTCTGTTTCTCTCTCCTTTTTTGTTTTCTTTTTTCGTGGTTTATCTTTTGTTTTTGTTTTTTCCTGTCTCTTTTGGTCTTCTGTTTCTGTTTCTCTCTCTTTTTTTGTTTTCTTTTTTCGTGGTTTATCTTTTGTTTTTTGTTTTTTTCGTGTCTCTTTTGGTCTTCTGTTTCTGTTTCTCTCTCCTTTTTTGTTTTCTTTTTTCGTGGTTTATCTTTGTTTTTTCTTTTTTCGTCTCTTTTGGTCTTCTGTTCTGTTTCTCTCTCCTTTTTTGTTTCTTTTTTTCGTGGTTTATCTTTTGTTTTTGTTTTTTGTCTCTTTTGGTCTTCTGTTTCTGTTTTCTCTCTCTTTTTTGTTTTCTTTTTTCGTGGTTTATCTTTTGTTTTGTTTTTTCCTGTCTCTTTTGGTCTTCTGTTTCTGTTTCTCTCTCTTTTTTTGTTTTCTTTTTTCGTGGTTTATCTTTTGTTTTTTTCGTGTCTCTTTTGGTCTTCTGTTTCTGTTTCTCTCTCCTTTTTTGTTTTCTTTTTTCGTGGTTTATCTTTGTTTTTTCTTTTTTACGTCTCTTTTGGTCTGTTTCTGTTTCTGTTCCTTCCTTTTTGTTTTTTTTCGTGGTTTATCTTTTGTTTTGTTTTTTCGTGTCTCTTTTGGTCTTCTGTTTCTGTTTCTATCTCTTTTTTGTTTTCTTTTTTCGTGGTTTATTTTATTTTGTTTTTTTTTCGGGTCTCTTTTGGTCTTCTGTTTCTGTTTCTATCTCTTTTTTGTTTTCTTTTTTCGTGGTTTATTTTATTTTATTTTTTTTTTCGTGTCTCTTTTGGTCTTCTGTTTCTGTTTCGCTCTCTTTTTTGTTTTCCTTTTCCGTGGTTTATCTTTTGTTTTTTTTCTTTTTTTACGTCTCTTTTGGTCTTCTGTTTCTGTTTCTCTCTCTTTTTTGTTTTCTTTTTTCGTGGTTTATCTTTTGTTTTTGTTTTTTTTTTTTCGTGTATCTTTTGGTCTTCTGTTTCTGTTTCTCTCTTTCTTGTTTTTTGTTTTGTTTTTTTCTTTTTTTTCTTCATTCTTTCGGTTGGTTTCATTCTTTGCCATTTCTCTTTCGATTGCTTTTTGTTGTTTTTACATCTTGTTTGCGACTGTTTTCTCTCCCTTTCTTTCTCTCTCTCTCTCTCTCTCTCGAGCAAAAAACACATTTCGGTGTATTTCCATCTATCTCAAAACCAACAATAAAACCCAGATTTCATGTAATTTTTTACAAACCTTAGAGAGAGAGAGAGAGAGAGAGAGAAAAAAAAAAAATTATCCATCCCAGGAAACATTTTTTTTTTTTTTTTTTTTTTTTTTTTTTTTTTTAACTTTTAAACGTTTAATATCTCCTCCTCCTCCTCCTCCTCCTTAGGGATACGACCAGAAGGACTACCTGCCCGTGCACGTGATGGTGGTCGTCGCGCTGGTCCTGGACGTGGTGGTCGTCACTCGGCTGAAATTCACCGTCCCCGACAAGAAAATTTCGTCAACCGATGTCCATGCGGTCTTCAAGCAGCCTTCTGTTCTGTTGATTTTGGTTCGTTACGTGATTTTTTCTTTTCTTTTTTTTTTTTTTTTTTTTTTTTTTTTTGATTGATTCCTCTTCTTCTTCCCCTTCTTCCTCTCTCTTTATTTGCTTTTGGTTCATTTATTGATTTTTTTGTTTTTCTTCTGATTGTATCTTCTCTCTTTATTTGGTTTTGGTTCGTTTAGTGATTTTTTTTCTTTTGATTGCTTTCTCTTCTTCTCTTTCCTTTCTCTTTATTTGGTTTTGGTTCGTTTATTGTTGTTTCTTTTGATTGCTCGCTCTTCTTCTTCCTCTCTCTTTATTTGGTTTTGGTTCGTTTAGTGATTTTTTTATGTTTTTCTTCCGATTGTATCTTCTTCTCCTTCTTACTCTTTCTTTATTTGGTTTTGGTTCGTTTAGTGATTTTTTATGTTTTTCTGCTGATTGTATCTTCTCCTTCTTACTCTCTCTTTATTTGGTTTTGGTTCGTTTAGTGATTTTTTAACGTTTTTTCTTCTGATTGCTTCCCCTTTTTCTTTTCTCTCTCCTTCCTTCTTCCTCTCTCTTTCTTTCTTCCTTTTAGGCTGATTTTGGATCACTTATTGAAATATTTTGTGTTTTTTTTCTTGTGATTGCTCCCTCTTCTTCCTCTCTTTATTTCTTTCTTTTAGGCTGGTTTTGGTTCGTTTGCTGAAATTGCTTTTCTTTCTATCATTCTTCCTTCCTTCCTTTGTTTTCTTTTTCTTTCATTCTTCCTTCCTTCCTTTGTTTTCTTTCTTTCTTTCATTCTTCCTTCCTTCCTTCCTTTGTTTTCTTTCTTTCTTTCATTCTTCCTTCCTTCCTTTTTTTCTTTCTTTCTTTCATTCTTCATTTTTTATTTTTTTCTTGTTTGTGTGTTTATATATTTATTGGTCAATCCTTATTCATGCGTTTGTCAGTTTGTTTCTTAAGTGTAGTGATTGGGAATTTCAGTAATAATACCGTGTATTATTGATGGCGAAAAAGGGTAGAATCTTCTTCATCTATATCAAAATAGTCTTCGTCTATATCAATGGAAATGTTGATTGCGAATATATAAATATTATTATTCTCTTATCATTTTTGCTATCGTCATTTTTGTCATCATTATTATTATATGCATAATTATGCTTGCTATTATTATTAGTAGTAGTATCATTGTTATTATATGTCATTATCCTTATGATCATTATCATTATGATCATTATCATTATCACTATTATCATTATCATTATCATTATCACCCTCATTACCATAATGATTATTGGAATCATCATTCTTTTATCATCATTGTCATCATCACTATTATCGTTATCATCATTCTTTTATCATTTGTCATTATCACTATTATCGTTATCATCACCAATACCATTATTCCCATCATCCTTATCCTCCCTATCCCTACCGCCCCCAGATGACGACCGTGGTGCTGGGGACCTGCGGGGGCATGGTCAGCGCCTTCTACCTCCTGCTGGTGGAGGACACGGCGGCGCTGTGGAGTCCCTCCTTCGCCTACCTCAAGCTCCTTCAGGGCCTCCTGCTGGGGGTTCAGTGCCTGGCGTCCGAAGTGCCCTGCTTGTTCCTAGCTGGTGAGTGGAGGGTGGTTGTTTGGTTGTGGTTGTTGGTTTGTGGTTGTCGGAGTGAGGGTTGGGTGAGGTGGGGTTGAGGGTATAAGTTGTGTGTGTTTAAGGTATGATTTTTTTATTGTATTTATTATTTATTTATTTATCATCATTATCATCATCATCATCACCATCATCATATTTATTATTATATATTATTATCATTATTATATTATTATTATTATTTCATTATTATTATTATTATTATCATTACCATTATTATTATTATCATTATATTATATTATTATTATTATTGACTGACACGTTTACTGAGACAAAAAACATATGAAAAGGATGAGGTAGCTTAGCTTATACTCACCCCTATCGTAATAAGTCCCTGCGTGGGCTCACAATTCACATACAAAATGTAAGTAAAACAACAGTTAAAGATAAATACAATACTTCAGTTCGGATTAAACTGAGAGCCGGTCCTTCGAATAAATAAGGTGTCCGAATACGAGCGTTAAAGGAGTCAGAAGTTTCATTACTTAAACAATAAATATCATATAATTTTAATAACAACCTAGGAAAAATAAAGGTTTCTTAAACAATAATTATCACTCATATCACTTCACTTATTCACCCTAGGAAAAATCGTTTCATTACTTAAACAATAAACCAAATTACTCAAATTCATCAAATTACTTAAACATCAAATTGCTTAAATTTATTAAATCTAATTACTTAGTTAAATTTGATTTAATTAAGTAATTTTTTTATTTCTAATTTCAGTTAAATTTGTTTCAATTTTAATTTTATTTAGGTTTGTAATTTAATTAATTAATTAAATCCAAATAGATTTAACGAATTAACTTAATTAAATTTAATTTGATTTATTACATTTATTAAATTTAAATTAAATTTAATATCAAATTACATGTATCAAATTACTTAAATTCATCAATTTACTTAATAAATACGTTAAAATTCTACCAACGCCCCAGGCAAAATCATCAAGAAACTGGGCTACGCCGCCTCCTTCTCGCTGGCCCTCCTCGGCTTCTGCCTGCGCCTGTGCCTCTACTCCTGCGTCTCGAATCCCTGGTGGTTCCTGCCGATCGAGCTCCTCCACGGGGTGTCCTTCGCCCTGGCCCTCGCCTCCGTCACCTGCTTCGCCAACAGCGTCACTCCCGCGGGCGCTGAGGCCACCATGCAGGCCGTCTTCGGGAGCGCCTTCCACTGCGGTGCGGATGGCGCTTCTCCTTTGTTTTGTTCTTTGGTCTTGGTCACGGCGTTGGGCTGGTTAGGTTTTGTTGTTATTATGAGTTATTATTATTGTTATTATTACAATTATTATCATTTTTATTCTAATGCGTTATTATTATTATTCAATTGTAGTTTGTTACATTATTGATATAACTATTATTATTATTAATTATTATTATTATTATTATTATCATTATTATTATCATCATCATTCTAATTCATTATTATTACGTTTTTTTTTTTTGGTTACATTATTGATATATTTATTATTAGTATTAGTATTATTATCACTGTTGATAGTATTATTGTCTTTATTGCTATTATTGTTCTCATTATGATTATTAGTTTATTATTATTATTATCATTATTATTATCACCTTGGGCCTTCTGCCTTTTACTTACAACTATATTGTAAGTCCGACTATTATTTTTTATTGCAATTTGTGGACCCTGTATGGCAATGTTATCAACGTGATTCTGCAAATACGAGACCTGACAGATCACATTGTCTGGATGCTTTCCGATGACCATTATAAATATTCGAAATTCACACTTATTTTATCATCATATTGGCTTTTTTTGTGAAATTCACCCTTATTTTATCATCATATTGGCTTTTTTGTGGTTATCAGCCATTATCTTATTCATAATTCTTTCGCATATTCTGATTTTAAATATTTCGATGTTATTTTGCATTTTGGCGAAAGATTCAGTCATCACAGTGACTAAACAAATGAGCATCGCCTTAGCAAATATAGAATAGCATGGCACTGTTTTGAAGATACACATTCGGAAGAGAAATAATAATAATGAAATCTTAAAACAATATATTGCAAATAAACCTCTCTTCCTGTTTACCCATAAAGACCTCTTATTGTTGTGAAAATAATGATTGGAAACGTCTTCCTCAGCTAGCGGATTGGGAGGCCTTGTGGGTAGCTGGCTGTTCCACGTGACGAACGGCTGGTGGAGGGCCTTTTTCGCAATGGGATCAGCTGTTGGTGTTTACGCTGTTCTGTTTACGATTATCCACGTGGTTCTGACTCGAGTTGGCTGTGGCAAACCAGCTGTTCAGAAAGGTTAGTGGAAAGAATGACTTTAACTTTGATAATTATTGAGGATTAATGTATTTGTTGAGCTTTTGGTATTATTTGATGGTTAACTGTTTTCTCGTGGCCAATTTAAAACAAATTTGAATATCTTATCGTCTACATTTAGCATTACTAGTATATAACAAGCCACTAGTGATGATAATAGCAACGTTTTAACCGTTATTTGAGTCTCTATTTCTCTCTATTTTTTTTTTTTCTCGAGCATAGTGGTATTTATTTCCAAGTAACAAATCTGAAATCTTCAACAGAGAAAGGCGGAGATGGCAGCGAAACCCCCACGGGCTGTTGCGAATGCTGAAGGGAAGAGCAACAAGAGCAACAACAAATACAAAATACATGATTTTTTGTTATTTGCTGAGCGCTTCGAGTCATTGTGAAGTTTTTAATGTTGTGTTTATGTTTTGTAAATATTGAGAGATAATGTGGAAAGTTCAGCCTGAGATAGATGAATGCTTAGGGATGAGAGAGAGTATGTAAATGGAAATATAAAGAAAGGGAGGAAGGAGAGAAAGAGAGAGAGAGAGAGAGAGAGAGAGAGAGAGAGAGAGAGAGAGAGAGAGAGAGAGAGAGAGAGAGAGAGAGAGAGGAAAAGACGAAGAGAAAGAAAAAAAAAGAAAAAAAACGAGATAGACAGAGAAGCGAGAGAGACAGAGAAAGGAAAGTAGGAGAAAAAGAGAAAGCAAGAGAGACAGAAAAAGAGAGGAAGCGAGACCGACATAGAGAAAAATGCAGCTATAGGAGGAGAATGCTGAACAAAACAGAAACTGTAACTTAGGCTTAATTTGACATTAGATACCTAAACACTGTGACTCTGGTTCTTCATTGGTTAAGGCGGGTCCTTATCACTTTACACATAGAATTAAAAATAAAACGCTTTATTTTTCTTGTAGGTCTATTATTTACCAGTCCTTCAATATCAGCTGGTGTTAACAATTTCCTCACACCATGTATGTAGTTTATACAGACTTAGCAGAAAAATATACACAAAATAGGACTAAGGAGTAAAGCAGATTTTCTTTCATCTGTATAAATCTCGATAAAAAGGAAGGATAAAAAGAGTAACAAGAATGGAAAATTATATTAGAGAAAAGGTGATAGCTCAAAACTTCTTTGACGAAAAAATAGAAAACCTCATATACGGAAACGTTGTTATTAACAGAACCCAGCTATCTTAAAAAGAAAAGAAAAAAAAATATATATATATATATATGTGTGTGTGTGTGTGTGTGTGTGTGTGTGTGTGGTGTGTGTGTGAGAGAGAGAGAGAGAGAGAGAGAGAGAAAATGAGAAAAAAAAGAGAATGAGAGAGAAAAAAGAAAGAAAGAGAGAGAGAGTTTTTAAGATCCATTGTGTAACGTCCTGTTATGCGGTATTGTGTAATATGTTAGGTGATCGTTTTTATTAAGACACACGAAAGAAAATCCTGACAAGTATGGTCAGGATATGCAATGAAGCATTTTTTCCGAATCACCTGTTGACGATTATCTACATCTCTCTCTCTCTCACACACACGCACATAAACACACATACACATACAATCACGCACATAAGCACACACACACACGCACATAAACACACATACACATACAATCACGCACATAAGCACACACACACACGCACATAAACACACACACACACACACATATACATATATATACATACATACAT